AGTTACTTGTAGCAGGTTGGTTTTTTACGGGGTGGAGCTGCTTGCCCCTTCTCCTTTCTCATCCTGGACTTGGGACCAGGCAAAGGCGGAGGTTGGCAAGTTTGGTGTGACGGGGATACGAACTCGCGACCCTCAGATTACGAGTCGAGCGCCCTAACCACCTGGCCATGCCGGGCCTGAAATGTAGATAGTAATGGAGGAGAACTGGTTTAAGTTTACAGTTCTGATGTGCATGACGTATATATATTTCAACTAACAGTTTGATACTACTGAATATTGTTCTATTTGCAGTGTGGATAGATATTTGATACTCAAGCTGTTAACAAAGTAAAAGGTGATCAAAGTTCGTACTCGAATTTCATTAACTTGAAGATGACCGTTTAAAAGACGTACCACCAGGCGCATATGTGCAATTAAAATTACACGTGTCTTCTGATATGTTAATGTAAAACGTTTTTCTCTTTTTCGTTGTTTATTTCCTTCTTAGTACCAAGCCTTTCCAAGTAAATATATCTATATATATATCACTTTATTATTGTAAAACGTAAATGGCAAAGTACATACAAAACAATATGTTGAAACAAGAACGTAAATATCCATTTCACAGTATCATCCACTTAAATAGAAAATCGTGAATTTACTCTCGACTACTATGTTTAGCGATAAACCACTTTCTTATGGCTATATTCGATTTGCTTTGGAACTATCTCGGTTTTATGTCGATACGATCGTTTACCTGATTACGTTTAAAATTGATGAAGTTGGAAAATCCAGGGCATTGAAGCACATAGAACAGAGAAGTCATAGGAAGTTGATGTAAGTACCCTCCGTTTTAAAGGTTATAGCTTTAAATGTCAAAGCGTAATAGACGTCAACGATAAAAAAAACCCTAAAAATCATTGATTCAGCAATAGAAACACGTTCCAGATAGACCTTCCCGAATAAAGTTTTTGACGTAGAGCAGGATCCCTAGAGTATGGTGGTGATCAGATGGCCTTGAGAGGTACGGATAAACTTTCTTGTCTGGAAAATGTATAGAAAAAGTCAGTGACAAAAATCCAAGAATAAAACAGACTAGTCTTTGATACCTGTGCATGATGTTGTTCGGATCAAATACTGATTTCAACGATCACCGAACAGTCAATTTCGTCTGCTGTTTTATCTGTTGAGAGAAGACTTGATTTCAGTCACACAGGTTTACAATGGTAGTTGAAAGTCACTTCATATTCATTTATTTAAATATCGAAGGTCATTTATTTTTCTTACAAAACAAAACTTCAATGATTATAAACAGAAGATAAGGTGTTGCCTTTTTTTTTGTACGCGTTGTAGCCGTGGATGGCTTCGTAAGTTAGTCCTGGTGGTTGCTCCTTAAAGCTTTAATTGTTGTTTGCTTTAACTCTTAATAACCTTTTGAAGAAGTAAATTATTTTTATACAGTTACAATAACCTTCTGACTTAAACACACGTTCATTCTTTTCACTTTAACTGTTGTTTAACACAATTAGCGATAGCTTCACCACTCGACATCGTTAATATTTATATGTTTAACTGAAATTTCAGAGAATAATGTTCATCCAAGTTAATTCACGTTAAGTGATTAAAGTGTCTTTCTGATAATATCCATTTTATTTTTTAAATGGTTTCTTTGGTGTTATAATTGTCCCAGTTGTGATATGAATCTACTGTTGCTCAATCTATTTATTTCTCGCAACTAGCAAGGTGTCTTTGTAATAACACCTGGGTTAAAGATTTTTGGAGATGCTTAACTGAATCGTATACTGCATATTTTAAATTTTGTTTTTCCCGCAAGTTAACATACAACAGGTTGTAACTGTCATCTAGGGCTGAGTGTGTGCTGAGCTATGGATCCATAGTTCGCGCCCTGTTACCGGCAAAAATATCGCGTTCTACACTTTGTAACCGTAGGTGCGCTCTAAAAGGATGGTCAAATCCCATTGTTTCATTAGAGAAGCCCATGATTTGGTGGTGTGTGAAGTTGACTAGCTGTCTTCCCACTTGTTTATCATATCAAAATTAGGAAGGGCTAGTGGCACCGGTAACTCTGGGGACTTAATACTGAAAACCGTGGTGGGAATAGCTCATTGTGTAGCTATGCCCTTAACTACAAACAAACATTTCACGTCAAGAGCCTAAAATACCACTTAAATATACGCTATGGTTACTAACTACGCATGTTTTATGGTCGATGTTTTAGCTGATTAATTCGTAAATTAATTTAAACGTCTGTCAATTTACTTGATTTTTTTTCAGATTTCTCACTGTAAGAAAAAGTCATCTGTTGAACCTTCTTTTATATATTTTGTTCTCGTATTTTCTAATTCCTTTTGTAGATTATTTCAAACACAATTGGCTTTATAACATGTACATTAGAAGCCATTGGAGTAGTTGGTGTAATGTTACAAATAAACATTTTCTAACGAAATGTCCAGTACTATTATTTGTATGTGAACCCTTTGCTTTACACAAAACTGGAAGATAAATCATGTCATGAAGGAATGTCTTGATGGAATAGAATCTGCCTTCACTTAGCAATTGAGGTGATACCAATTTTATATAGATAACTGACATAACTGGTTGAGATGCAACCCTAAACTTGTACGTACTCCTCATGATACTTTACTGTAGAAGTTCTGCATTAACCATGGTCCGTTTTCCTCTCCGATGTAAAAAAAAAACTGTGGCCCAAAGATTCCAACTTAGATACATCTGTAAGTAACACACATCCCCAGCTTTGCTTAGTCCACTGTTTATGGTCCTATACACACGTCAATCTTTTAGTTGGGCTACCTGTTCTCAGCAACGATTTCTCGAGCAGCTATTAACAACAGTGCAAGTCTCACGTAAACTCCTCAGAGTCTTACATCAGCTCTTAAGAAACTTGAAGGTTTGCGACAATTCTTCGTAAGAAATATCCAAGTATCCATGACCAATCAAAAACACTGATTACTACGCGCTTGTCATGCAGTATTTCAGTCCTGGAAACATGAATGTAACACTACTACTACTATTATTGGGTGTAATATGGCTGCCTACACTTTTATAGACTTTATACTCGTAACACTTCCTGATTGATTGGACTGTACTGTGGTGCAGTTCATCCTCGTACAATAATGGAATGGCATTTTCGTAGTATTACCTTTTATACCATTTTCCTCACCGTTTCCTTAGTTACTACCAATGCTGTTTATATACTTTTATTTACTTCACATGTCTTCTGATCATTTTTGTTTATCATAGCTTCGAGTAAAATATTTTGGTTAGTTCAGCTTAAGTTTAGATGTAAGACATTTGCGACCTTAAAAATTATTTAACATTTCGATTTGAAAATAGCGGCTAACTATGATATTCAAGGCCAGGTGTAGACACTACTCATCCTAGAGATGGAACCTAGCGACATTATTGAAAATGTCGAGGGTAAAATCCAAAATAATGATAGAATTCCTCATGACCAGCGGAAATTAATATTTGCATAAGAAACCAGCTGTACGATGGAAGAACCTTTTCCAGACTAAAGTATTCGAAAGGAATCAACTGTGTATATAGTTTTTAAGACTCCACGATGGGGCGCAAATCTTTATTAAGACACTCGCAGAAAAAACAGTAACCTTGGAAATTGAACCTGGCGTTACCATTGAAAATGACAAAGCCAAAATTCCGGATAAAAAAGTGTAAAAATAATTGATTCTCCACTGTAGTGGCATGTAGATCGTTGTCAAAACTCTTACAGGCAAAAACCATTACCCGTGAATATGAACCCAGTGATGTTATTGAAGATATGAAAACCAAAAATCTAAAATAAATAACGTATTACTTGAGACCAGCAGAGGTTATTTTTTTCTATAAAGCAGTTGAAAGATGAACGAAATCTAATTATAATATTAAAAAAATTGTTGCCTGGATTGTGAAACTGAGAATGAGACCCGTTGCCACAAAAACGCGCTCCGTGTTTGGAGACGTGGGTGAGCTATAAGAGGGAGGGTGAAATCCCTGTGACAACTGAGACACAAGATTTGGCTTGGGTTACTGTGGCTTATTTGCCTTTCCTAGAGACGATTGTGCGAAGATAACGCTTGTGTAGCCATGCGTGAAGTTCTGAAACAGACTAATAATTGATGTATTCCCAGTTTTTATGAGTGTGGCGATCTTGATTTTGGAGGATTCAGTGTGACCTAGTGGTTAGCGTGCTGGAATGTGGATCCGAGGGTTCATGGCTCGCGTCTCATTACTGGAAAAATACATATCTATGTAATCGCACTCCGAAATTTTGGGCTGTGGATGGGTTATAAGAGTAACGGCCAAATCCTTATTATTCGATTAGAATAGCCAAGAGTTGGCGGTAGGTGCTGTTGACTAAATTCTTTCGCTTTAGTTACTCAATTTTGCTTGCACATCTGAAACATACAAATAAACTATTTTTTAGTCTGGTTGATTTAAATCACGTAACTAGTTGATCGCCATAAACTGAAACCATCGAGCTAGTATTCATGTTTCCAGTAAAGTAATGGATAACTGTACTAGGAAATCAAACGAACATAATATCACCTGCATTTTAATATGTTGAAAGTTCAAATATATCATTACAGTACTAGTAAACATGACTATCAGGATCTTTAAAGATATTTATTGTATATCTTACCCAGCTACCTTATTCAAATCGTCATTATATCATATATCTTCATGCTAAACCCGTTAGGCATAATCTGAGGTAAATTTAATACGTCAGCAAACACTAAACCGAAAACATTATAAAGCAGCACCAGAAAAATAAGTAATACAATAAACTAGAGCTGAATAAGAATCAACCTTCTCTCAAGATGCCAGAGCTGGAATAAGAATCAAACTTCTCTCAAGATGCCAGAGCTGGAATAAAAATAAATCTTTTCTCAAGATGCCAGAGCTGGAATAAAAATAAATCTTCTCTCAAGATGCCAGAGCTGGAATAAAAATAAATATTTTCTCAATATGCCAGAGCTGGAATAAGAATCAAACTTCTCTCAAGATGCCAGAGCTGGAATAAAAATAAATATTTTCTCAATATGCCAGAGCTGGAATAAGAATCAAACTTCTCTTAATATGCCAGAGCTGGAATAAAAATAAATATTTTCTCAAGATGCCAGAGCTGGAATAAAAATAAATCTTTTCTCAAGATGGCAGAGCTGAAATAAAAATCAACCCTCTCTCTCAAGATGCCTTATAGAAAGCCTGAACTAATCGCGAATGGTATTAATATGATTGTAATCTTAGCATCTATTCAAAGATGCTAGCACATTCCAGTGAATTTTCAAATGAATAAAAACAAAAACACGATTACAATGAGTGAACGAAAAAGTTTTGATTTAATTAATCAGATAATTTTAGTTTAAAAAATAACTTTGTACATTACAAATACCTTTACATCAGTAGATTAATCTACATCTCCCATGTGTTTGAGTGTATCACTCAGAATTCGATTTCATATGAACTAGTCTTCGCGTGTATTAATAATATTTCCATTCACGTGATATTTCAAGTTCTCTGTTTTATGTTCATTGATTTTTTCTCTCTAATGGGTTAGAATGTATTATATATAGCAAGTTCACTGGAGTTTCAAGTCAATTTGTTGCCTATGCAAGTTTTCCATTAGTTGTTCGAAGATAATCTACTGATTATATTCAGACTGCACTTTTTTATTTTGCATTTGAATAACTGAATATTTCATGACTATTCGTTTTAATTCACGAGTTTATTAGAATTGCAGCATTTTTCTCTTTATTTGCAAGCAGTATTACCGTATAGCAGGAACGTACAACACTAGCTTTTCCTTTGGTACAAACTCCACTGGGAATCATTTAGGGTTTTCGTTACTGAAGAGCTAAGATAACAGTTAAGTTTAATTGCAGGTCGGCACCATAGTCTTGGGGTAATCGGGCAGTTGGCTTATAAGATACAAGATTGAAAAATGATCCATTCACGGTGCTGGTAGTAAACAGTGAATAGATATTGGGAACTAAATTTCACGGAAGACTCTTCATACCATTTACGACTCGAATAATATAGCAACCAATTAACCGTGAAGATGCAAGAACATTAATTAAATCTACTCATCAAAAGAAGCTATTCAAATTTACGAAGAAGCTGACAAGCGAAAGTCAATAACTACTAGCAAGATTTGAACAGCCGTTTAGATAGATAAGATGTACAAAGACAAATGGATCCATCGCTGTAACTGCGAGGATTGCTGAAAGCAAAGAAAATTGTATTAGAAAGTTCCAGACAGGAAGATATTGTGACTGGAAATTGGTATAGTATGCTGGGCATCTAGCGTAAAGTTTCAAATATTTAGACAGGAAGATTGGATTGAGCCCTCTGTTGTCAGATCTGTCTAGCTCTTCTTGCGTGTTACACTTCAAACTAAATAAAGTTTGAGGGGGTTCTCAGTCTTGTGTGTCTCTAAAAGTGGAGAAAGCAATCACAAGCACACATTTATTCTTTATGTAACATACCATTAAAACAAAGATAACCGGATAAGTCTCCAAACAAAACAAAACCACCGCTCTGTATAATTAGTTGGAAGATTTCAGTCGTGTGGTAAATATAATTTTAGTATTTGGCTAAGCTGGTTGGTACAAATATGTATTAGGATGAAAAATATATATATGCAACTTGCTATACGTTTTGTTTCCGTGATTGGTCAGTTTATCCCACACTCGTGATTAATATTACTGTTTAGATAAGTCTGTAAATTTTTTAAATGCTTAAAATGGGCCTTTTTGTAATCCACACTTTGTTATTGATAAGCTCACAGTTGTGGTTTACCGTTGTCAAGCTTGCTGGTACGAACTAGGTATAACTAATTTGCCGTTTCGAAGAACATACTCATCCTCTGCAAGACATCGATTTAAGTTGATTTAAATAAGGTAATATTAATTAGCTATATCTATATTTCGACAGTATAATGCTTTGGTATGTGTAAGTAACTTTCCATGAATAGAATTAAGTGCAATTTACTTCTATTTAATTTACCAACTCATCATAACAATTTGAAAAATTTCAATTCCTGTAAAGAAGACTTTTCTGTTAAGAAAGTAAGGGACTAAACAAGAGTTTGACATCCCCAATCCATTTCTCAAAAAAAAAAATTAGGGACTTATTTGCTAAAATACGTAAGAGATCACTAATAATAATATGATATATATATATGTGTGTGTGTGTGTGTGTGTGATTATTATGTACTTAGCAGGTACGCCCTCTAATTAGAAATTCTGGATCCACCGATTCATATACAAAATATATTCGTGTTTGAGCCTAGATGTTTTCTTCCTACCCAGTATTAATAAGTAAGACTTTCTTAGGTCAGAAGATTCGTGTAAAAAATATTAGAAGATTCTTTAACAGAATATAGGTTTGGTTTGTGTTAAGCAAAAAGCTACACCATGGGATATCTGTGCTCTGTCCACTGCTGATATCGAAACTTGATTTTTAGCAGACTTACCGCTAAGCCATCAGGAGCTAACAGAGTTATTTTGTGTGTTGAATTTTGTGCAAAGCTATTAGAGGGATACCTGCGCTAGTTATCTCTAACTTAGAAGTGACAAACTAAAGGGAAGGCAACTAGTCAACATCATCCACAGCTGAAAAGGTAAACATGTTCGGTGATGGGATTCGAACCCGTGACCCGTCGATTGTGAATCGAGCGCCTTAAAAAATGAGCTATACCAGGTCCTGGGGTAAAAGAACTTAGGCACAGGGAAATGGTATCATCTATATAAAAAAAAATAACATGTGTGCGTGCGTGGGGAGCTTTGTAAACTTTATCAAACCATGCAAAAATTTAATTAAGAATAGGGAAGTATCAACTACGTCACCACTTGCGTAAGGGAATAGTTGGTGTAGATAGTACTATGCATTATAAAGGGAAATGTATATGAGGAATTGATCTGTCATCCCTCAGAACCTCATCACAGACTTTGGGGAATGGATCTGTCATCCCTCAGAACCTCATCACAGACGGTAGTGTTTATGTGTTAAAGTTTTGTATGTGAATTTCATTATTTGCTTAAAGATACTTAAAGTACCGATACCATCACCCTGTTGAGTCTTAATACTTACCCCCGATACCCAGGTTTTGAAAGCATTGCTAGATCTGGTGTCTCTTATTAAATAAGTCTATCGGTTTGTAATTTTTGAACAGACCATTCGGCTCAAAGTGTCTTTTGTATTAGAGGTGTTTGGTGAGCATTATGGCATAGCTTTAACCCACCTAGGCTTAACTCTACAGTCACTGAGACGCCACGCACAGCTCTCGTATTTCTTCAAAACCCTACGTGCCTAACCTCTCATGTGACTAGGCTTAACTGTTTTAGTTATTTTACATACACAGCACTGCCTTTACATTTTACAAACTTTGTGCATTAAAAAACAAAATACCACAACCAAAAATAATGTTTTGTACGCGAAACACGAGTTTTCCCCCTATTTATCATTTATAAACAGTACGTCATTTATACGTGTTAATAGGAATGAAAGTTGAAACGATAACGTTTTAATTTGTTGATATTGAAGAATCAAGTGACTTCAGTATCATATTTAGCTAAATGTCAGACATTTCTTTAAATGAAATACTTTAGAATATATTTAACTTTACTGCTATAAGTTTCATGTGCATAATATTAATACTAGCATTAATACCCTATTCTCAAACTGAACAATATTAACCTATTACATATTATAATTGAATATTTTTAGAAACTTCAGGTATTTGTAGGTTTATTTGTAAGGAAATCTAACACACAAGTTTCCAAGTTTTTCGTGTCAGATTACTTGGCATTATACAGGTCTCCATTAATACTTAACTCAGCCAGCTGCGTTAGCATTTGATTTATTGTCTAATTCAAAGTGATGAATATCGTTGCCATGCTAAAGGTGATTTTTCGAAACGTTAAAAAATTTAATGAAAGAAAAAAACTGATCACAATTCTGATATACTAACCCAAAAATGTGTATGGTTATCACTGGGTTAAGAGAAATCACCAGGTAGATAGTATGTGTAGATCTAAATAAACATTTATTTTGTCAAAAAGAAATAAAAAATCGAAACCACTAAAGAGTACTACCTATCGTCATTATTTACTTGTGGCCCGGCATGGCGAGGTGGTTAAGGCACTCGACTCGTAATCTGAGGATCGCAGGTTCCAATCCCCGTCCCACCAAACATGCTCGCCCTTTCAGCCGTGGGGGCGTTATAATATAACGGTCAATCCCACTATTCGTTGTTAAAAGAGCAGCCCAAGAGTTGGCGGTGGGTGGTGATGACTAGCTGCCTTCCCTCTAGTCTTATACTGCTAAATTAGGGACGGCTAGCGCAGATAGCCCTCGTGTAGCTTTGCGCGAAATTCAAAACAAATAAAATAAACAAATTATTTACATTTCTTCCAGAATATTTTTATTAGCCTTTACACGCATTGTACTTCATTACACAGGCTGGGAGTGGCCTTCTGATTATCGTTGTGGACAGTAGACTCTGAATGCTCAATGTTCGCGCCCTGTTGTCGCAAGAAAGCGCTCCGTGCTTTGAGGGCCGTGTGTGTGTGCGTTGCAAGAGAACATAAAAAGATATAACCTGCCCAAATTCTAAGAATGTATGCCAATATTTTATGGATGCAAATTATTGTTGTCATGGCTCGATTGGAGTAAAACAAGAAGTGGCGGTGGATGCTGTTGACTAGCTGCTTTCCTCTCTAGACTATCAGTAGAAAATTAAAAACGGATTAGGAAGTACTACTGACAGCAAAATGGTGTTTCTGGCGCTCTGTAATGTAAAACACTTTTATCATTCAGCTACTATACAGTTTCACTTTGTTGTGAAATGAAATATTTCTACTGATGCAATAGACATATCGTCACGATTTTAAATTCAACAAATCATCGAGAAAAACCTTCAAATTCATCACTTTTTCCAAGGTCTGTTCTCGGAGAATCAAAGAGTGAACAGGTGCTCTCTACGATATATTCATAAAAACTATGCAGTTGATGGTATTAAAACAGATGAATCTTCCAAGAACATGAAAACAAACAGAAAAAAGTTAACGTTAGACTCAAATTTGAAGCTTTCAACTGAGGAGAGAGAGAGAGAGAGAGAGAGAGGATGGACGAAAGACTGAGTAAACTCTCTTTACGTAAGGTATTGCCAGATAACAAACGCTGTCCGAGAACATCGTTAATTGGTTACTCTACTGACACGTGCTCAAGCTTGAAAGTATGGACGACCAAATAATACCGTTGATCCCTGTATCACGTCGACTCACAAATATATATATATATAATTGATTTCGGTGGCAAAGTAGTATCACACCATTCACTCTGAAAGCCCCCCCCCCCAGTATCGATCGTATCTTGGAAATAGTATTTAAAATATTAATCTCCTTTATATGCATGCATGACTTTTACCATCAAATTAGTTTTTGCGCTATCATTCACATATAATCATAGGCGAGGTCTCAGAAACTTGCTTGGAACTTTGATTTTGTAGCTGGAAGGGCTAGCAGTGCGTGGAAGGCAACTATAAGCTAGATTCCTAGCATAATATGTAGTTCAGCTGCTTCGTCTTGACATCTATGTCTGATTAACGTTACTAAAGCTGGACTGCAGTCTTTTTTAGGAGAATCGTGAAGTCGCGCTGCAAACCCTGCTTTGATCTCCAGTGTGAAACACTGCACTCAAGCGGAATCTTATATCAACATTTTCAGTCCGTGAAACCTCATAATGCCTATATTAACATAATTATTTACGTATGATGAGATAAAACACTGATTATTTCTAGACTTCAGTATGAGACTTTAAACAAGTATAATATGTTAGCCTTAACTTATGATGATATAAAACACTGATTATTTCTAGACTTCAGTATGAGACTTTAAACAAGTATAATATGTTAGCCTTAACTTATGATGATATAAAACACTGATTATTTCTAGACTTCAGTATGAGACTTTAAACAAGTATAATATGTTAGCCTTAACTTATGATGATATAAAACACTGATTATTTCTAGACTTCAGTATGAGACTTTAAACAAGTATAATATGTTAGCCTTAAAAAATTGAATATAAAATCCTCTGTTAAATACTTTTTCATAGTAGAAGTGAAATCAGCATGGCAACGACATCCATATTTGCGCGGGTTTTAATGATTACGTTTCTCGTCAATATCTTGAAGTGTATCAATATCTTAATGATTTGAGATAATTTGACACTACATATTAAGCATTTAATTAGAAATCATTTTTATATTTATTTAAAGTGCAATTGAATATTTTTAATTAAGAAATAAACAACGCTATAAAAATGCAAGCAGATATATATATATATATACATCACAAACAAGATTATTATTCAGTTATTCCTTATCGCTCATTAGAGAGACAGCCAATAAAGCACGTATCGGTCTTGTCAATGAAGTGCAACTTCTGCTTGCTTAGTTTTTTTTACGTCATTAAGATACATTTTTTAAAATATTTAAATTTTACATTAACGAAGAGCAACAATTAAGAGTCTAATTTATGAAAAAATAATTTCAACAATTTAATTACAATAGCTTCTGAGGATCATCTCTGGACATCCTGAGAGCAGTAAGGAAGATGAAAAGCTAACATTATGTAACCTATGTTGCAAGACTTAATTAACCTACTTTAACTGTCAGTACGATACATGAGTAAGGAAGCACATTATGCTAATATAATAATAGGTGAGCAAACAACGACTTATAAGCGTAAGGAAAAGCTTTATTGATGGTGGAGCATGTAATATGTTTCCCCATCAATAAACTTTTCCTTATGCTTTTAAATCGTTGTTTGCCTACCTATTATTATCAGTACAATGAAATAATAACTTATCACATTAAATAATAGGTTCACAGAGACCGTCACTATGCATATTTCTATTCCTTTTAAATTTGATAAGTACATTGATATAAAAA